TTATATATATTTCCTGTAGACTGTTAAACTCATTGTAGACAATGCATCCAATAAGTATATACATAGTGTACATGTTTCATTTTATTTTAAGACTGTGCTGATGGATACTTTCGGCCTGGATCTTTATGCATAGAATGTCCCTCAAATTGTTATGATAACGCATGCAATGTAGAATCCGGTGTTTGTTCCGGTAAGTGATTCATTATACTTCAGTTTAAAACACCAGTCATATAAAATTCTCATATTTCTTTTTGCATTTTGTGTTAATACAAATTCTTGTCAAAAAATATATTGCGTTCGATGTGGGGAGACAAATACATTTCAATTTTAAAATGATACAACATCTAAGGTATTTTTTGCTAATATGTATTAATCAACTTAATGATATCATGTTATAATTAAATAATTTTTACAATAAACGATTTATCTTGCTTAATGTTATATAAGCATATATACATGAATCAAGAACCATTGTGTACAATCACATTTTCAGTGACAATCAATGACCTAAAAATATGACGAAAAGGTAGCTTCTTAGAATTTTTTCATATTCTGACGTGTTTTTCGTCATTTTCCGTTAAAGCGTGTACTCCCGGGTATTATGGCGGCCGTTGCAATCAGACGTGTCTGTTCAACTGTAAGGACAACCGATGTACGCAAATCAATGGAGAGTGTGAAGGTATGTATCAGTGGAAGGCATGAAAAAAATGTATAGAATGTCTTAAATAAGGATCATTTAAGAAATAATTTACTTTTCATATATTCTATTTCCCGTATTAGCATACATCATTCAGATCAATTTTACACAGATCCGAGTTTGATTTTTAATACTTCTAATGAATGAAAATTAAAAGGATATGCAAATTATAATAATGGTGTAGGATGTGCAGCCCTACAACTGAGAAAATAACAAAGTATAGTTAAAACGTGCACAGCTATTGTCGTTTTACGTAGGTTTTTCGGGAAAATGAACATAATCTTTGCGAATCAAGATCGGTAAGCAAGAACATGAACAAATATGTAGAAAGAACACACAGCAGAGAAATAGTATGACAAAAAAAAAACACATTCCGGTAGAAGTACGCAAAAAAACTGAACAACATGGTTGTAAAATATCTGGTCCGATTATGATTTGGTGATGGTATGAATCCCGATCATCAAAATGAAAATTAAATTTCATCAAATTGAGGTAATATTAGAGTTGGAAAGCAAGAGGATACTTAATATATGTTTGACATGAATACAATACATGGCTGCTTTATATGTGATAGGTTTGTTTTGTATTTCAATATGTTGGTAAAAATTGTCGATATGAAACTATATAAAGTTCGTTTTCATTTTCGCAATGGCCAGACTGTGAAGATGGATTCTTCGGATCGTCCTGTGATGACTGTTCTGTTGGTTGTATTAGACCAGTCTGTGACAAAATATCAGGAAATTGTAGTCGTAAATATTAAAAACAGAGCACCTTATCTACTCATTAATAAATTATATTTCAAAATGTCTCACAATCTATTTTCCCGAGTGACAATGGGAGATCCAATTGTCAATGAAATCATAATGTCTTTACATGGTTTTTTTTTCGTAATACCATTAGTTTAAATTGCAATAAAGAAATTCGTTCAGATGTTTTAGAACGTTGATAAGATACATAGCATTGACGTTGTTACCGGATTGTTGTTTTTTGAAAATAAATCAAACGTAGATAAGAAAAAAATCATTATAAAAAGAGTTAAAAACCTACTTATTAACTACAGTCCATTAAAGCTTATTTAGACACCCTCTTATATGCGTACACTGCATACATGTGCATTATGTTCTAGAAACCCTCACGGAGGGGCCGCAGTGGGGTAGCCAAGTGGTTAATGGGTCTGACATTTTGCTACCACTAGCCTTTCACCATTTGTCACTGGTTGCTCAGTTAAATATCATAACTCGGACAAGTTGTTTCATGTATATCTCTTTCTTTACCATCTCCGAGAAACCGGTTATGATGTTCCTAGTATAAGCCTGCTAATACATGCTGGCGGCAATGTATCTTCACGCCCTCTATATAGTCAATATCAATGGCTCTATCAGTAATCTAGAGTACAGATCCGTCTCTCACGAGTCGGATTGTAAGGGGTAGTCGCCAGGTACTGGCCGTAGGTTGGTGGTTTGTCCCCGGAAACTCCGGCTTTCCTCCACCAGCAAAACCTGGCACGGCCTTAAATGACTATAGCTGTTAATAGAAAGTAAAACTAAAACAAACCAAACTCCGGAAAGCCAAAGATCTAACCTGATTAGGTATGTGGTAATAAGTGTCCTGAATTATTTAAATGCATGTTGTAAGATGCGTCTAGTGTGGACGATTTCCATGATTAATGACTGCTTTAAGCTCAAAGTTCATGGATATGTACTCAAATTTACAAGATGATTGGTTAAAATTCTTCCCTATATTTCACATAAATTTGCATTTCGTACTTGTGTTTTATCTTTCAAATATTACCAAGCACTAGGACAATTATAGAATATGTCAAAACAATTTATAATACAATGTTGTTCCCATGATCCTGTCCTTTTCATTTGCAATAAATGTTATTGTCAAAGGACAAATGGATTGGGCAGCAGGCTTGGCCTATTTACGGCCTTTCCAAACATAGTAACAAACAGTGGTACAAGCATAGAAATAGACATTATAACACATACAATCAAATACATAATCAGATTAGGGGAAACAATTACTAATACTCATTTTTATTATAATTGAATCTAATGGTTTAAATTATAACCTTTTATTTTGATACCGAAAAGACATATAATATATTTATTTATTATATGCATGAACATTTCTCGCGATCACATTGGTCGGATCATATACACGTGACCAGTCCTCAAATACTCATGTAAACTGGTTATCCGTTGAATATCGATTTCTAAACATAACCTATATGGAAATTCCCTGGAACTTGTCATAGCGCATGCGCAGTTAGACCGGAACGCGATATGTCAGATGTCATTAGAAGATGGCTGCTGGCGAACGTTTCTCCTCCGTTACATCAGAAAAAAACCTATTCGAGGATAAAGATTATGTTAACATAAAAAGGGCCATTGAACACGCAATGCATGTCCTCCATGCTTTTTTAAGAATAAAAACACGATAATGTCTTCGAAAGCTACGATGCTGACCTGTTGAATTCAAACCTGGATACATTTTACACGGAGGCTCGCGTACAAAAATCAGAACCTTGAGTTTTGTTTTACTTTATTGTTGAAGCATATAATAAACCAGTTATGGGCTTTTGTGCTGGTAAATATGATGTGATATGATCCAGAAAAGTGATATTGACCGAGGCGAAGTCTCAGTTAATATAACTGTTTCATGTATAAACATTTGATGGGATTAAATAACCGCTCCCAACAGATACAGGCCAAAAAGTCCGTATCTGCTCTGAGTCATTATTTTCACTTGGCCCTTTCTCTGCACGCCAAAAAAAGTTCGTATACAATAGTTCGCACATGGACATTTATAACTATTGAAATTAAAAACAGAGGTTTAAGCTTCCAAAATTGAATACTTTCAGCTTGCTTGAACGGCTTCTATGGGATGAAGTGTGATCGGATATGTTCCTCTAATTGTGAAAACAACATATGCACACAATATAAAGGGATATGTACAGGTATGATAACTTTGTCATTGAAATTACTTTTTGAGGTATTCTTTAATAGTTTTTCATGTATAAAACAACCCTTAAGGGCAAGAAAAGGATGTTAGACATTTCTAAAAATCTAATCAGAGGTATTTTTAATTATTCTTGTATGCTCAAAGTCATGTGGTTAATTTATTTATATAATTTCTTAAGTTTGACTAGATTTAAAAAACCGGAAGATAAACACATTACTATTGTTTCTTCATCTCAAGAGAATTATATATAAACACATTATTTATAAAATATTATTTATGGTATATTCAAGCCTTCGTCCCTTTTAATAAAACTTAGTTTGAACAAATACCTTATCTATCTTTTTTTTTGTAAAGTGAACGATGGATGTATATTACCTCAAAGGACTGCTGATGTTATTATTTTAGCATGCAAACCCAGATATTATGGTAATACCTGCAACACAAGCTGCCCATACAATTGTAAAGGGACTATATGCAACCAGACCAGTGGGTTATGTTCAGGTATGGTGTTATCTAAGGTTATATGTCAGGATTTGTTAATGTCTTTAATATTAGGATCTCTATTTGTTATCGCATTTACTACCGTTAGGTAGTACAGTAGAAATGGTCTGATCCAAAAAAAATAAAGGGCATGTCTCAGATAGACATGGATAGTGAATTCAACCTGCACAATACACCTACATATATATATATATATATATATATATATAAACTACATTTTAATTACATTTTGTTTAGAAGACTTTTTTTTTTTTTCAAAAACTGTTTTCCGTAGATTTTGGACTTGTGAAAATCATGGTCACCACATCAAAGAACACCAAAACATGCAAAACAAATGTGTTAACCTAAAATATGAATTCTCCTGACAGGTGAATTTTTACCTATTCTACTCTCAAACTACCAACAAAGGGAGGTAACCTGAAGAATGAAAACTTGAATAGGTTTGTAGTTTTCATGAATAAAGTTTCATTTTGGGTGAAAAATTATGCTTTGAGATCATGTGAATGTGAAAAAAAACACCAGTACAGTGATACTATGATGTTTCTGTCTTGTTTGATGACGTCATAGTTACTGTGACACACTTCCCGTAATCGATGAACAGCACAAATATGTTAGATATTTTGAAACATCAGACAAGTGACATGTTTATTGCCATTATTGACTATGCTCATTTAATCTGTATGCTGAATCAAGTGGACACAACATATAAAATAGTGTTATTAGAATGAAAACAGATATTTTACCCATTTTCAATAAATACAACTTGATGTATTAGTAACCATGATACCGGGTGCTGAACTGAGTGAAACAGACTGAAATCTAGTTTGAATGCATCAGGAGATAGCCTGTGATTTATTTGTTGTTTGGTATCAACTTTACCAATTTCACAATTGACACATATTTGATGAATTGTGGAGTGTTTTTTGAAAGTTTTGGTGTATTTTTAAGCAATAATGAAGGAAAGTGAAGCTTAATTAAGCATAAAAAGGCATTTTTTTCAGAAAAAAATATTTTTTCTATATGTACATGTATAAGATAGCAGAGTACAGTAGACATGGCCTGATCCTATCAATAAAGGTTATTTCTCAGATCAACCTGGATAGTGAGTTCAACCTGCACAACACACCTACCTATATATATATATATTTATAGAATACATTTTGATAACATTTTGTTAAGAAGACTGATTTTTTTTCGAAAACTGTTTTCCTAGATATGTGACTGGTGAAAAGCATGGTAACCACATCAAAAAACACCAAATTATGCAAATTTATGTAAATGACCAAAACTGTTGTCTCAAACCAAATTCGATTTTGTTTTTGAAAAATTATGAAGCCCACATAGTCCATTTCATCATGTATATGCCAATTGTAGTGCAGTGTTTTTTTCAAATTTTGATACATGTAATATTACAGGGGTTATTCATTGTATGAACATGTCACCCATGGCCAGCGTACGCTACTGTACACTGCTACCTTACATCAAGGTTTTGCTCCATTAAGTATACATTTTGAGTGTGTATAACAATATACTTTGGACATTTAATGCTGATCATAATGGTTTACAATCATAATGAAACGTTGTTTCCATTTGAGACAGTTATAATGTGTTCATAAATATATCATTACGATCTTGCGTATATATATTCTCAGTTTATTTATCGTCGAAACGTGACTGCATGCAATAATGTTTTGTAACGTGTGGAATATTACGTTTTTGAAATGTGGTTTCACATATACATCAGTGGAGGCCAAGGAGATGCTAATGGTGCATTACCATTTCTAATTTTGCGAAATTTTATTTTGTAAGAGTATTATGGCATTGGACATTTTATCTAATGTATCATTTGTGACAACAGGGTCCGTTTAGGGGACGAGTTTTATTATGGTCCCCATTACAGTTCAAACCTGTTTAATATTACTGTTTTTAATATTTCCTTTTTTATCTAAAGGCAAAAAACAATCTTGGAGTTTACGTGTCAATTTTTGATAGTAATAGTTTTGATCAATGGCCGGATATGCAGTCAACCGAGCTGAAATAATAAGGGTCAGTGAACTTAAATTTGATTTGAACATAAAAAGTTAGCCCATTTGATTGGGCATTAGGTGTAAAGCACAAAAGGAGTCGTATGTGTAAAATATGAAATATTTGTATTGTAGCATGTGACCCTGGTTTCTTTGGACACAATTGTAGTATGTCATGTGCCGGTCATTGTAACAATGATGAATGCCAACAGAACAACGGAACGTGCATAGGTACAGTTGACATATCATTTACGTACAGACCATTTTATCAAAGTATATATGGCTGAGCTATTCATCATTTACTGATATGCTAGTTAGGAACATGCATAGAAAAGATGGCCTAATGTTTAAGTTTCAAACTAAGTACTATGATTGTTAAAAAAATACGATGAATCATTTACATTTTGATTCAATCCGCCATGCACACATGAAGTTTTAATTGACTTCGTCAATCATAATCACAATATTACATCTGAAGAATCTTTATCGATTCATTGTATGTTAACATCGAAAACTAATTTCTAAAAAACACACAAATCTTATCATTTCATTATTTTTCATTTTTTTAATATTTGTATGCAATGACACTACATTTATTTGTATTATTAGCTTTTACGAGTGGATATTTTGGACTTAACTGTGAAGAGAAATAATGTATTTTTTTTCCGAAGAGAGATACTTGTACAATCTTATTTGTGTTATTTTCAAGCCTGCGTTTCTTGTCAGTCCAGTTTGAAATTAAACGTCATCTATTTTATTTTTTTTGGTAATGTAAAGTGAACGATGTATGTATTAAATCTCAGATTACTGCTAATGTATTTTTTTTTTATTTTAGCATGCAAACCTAGATATTATGGTGATACCTGCACCATTAGCTGCCCTTCCAATTGTAAAGGGAATACATGTAATCAAACCAGTGGGTTATGTATAGGTATTTTGACAGGTCATGGTACAGACGACGATACACTAGTAAAATCATACAATCATAAGTTTCCCCTTTCAGTAGTTTGAATCGTTAAATGGTCAGTTAAACCAAAATAGGATTTTATTCTCAAAAAACCCGACTCTCTATTCTCTATTGTAAGGGTTACTGTTATGGCAAGACTTTGATGTATTCAGCATACGTTTTGAGTATGTATACGGATAGCCTCTTGGGACGTTTTCTTTTGAAAATAAGATAAAACAAAGCCGAGGAAAACTCGGCTATTTTAGCAGAAGGTTCATTAATCGTCAGCCATTTAATGGTGATCATAATGGTGTACAATCATAACGAAACGTTGTTACGTTTTTCACGAAAACCATCACCGACATCTCAATAGCGTTGTTAGTCCTTAAAACCAAGTGATACAGCACATCCCCAGGAACTATTAACAAATGGGCTATGCACAGTACCTGTCAAAATGAACCAATCAAAACATAACGCTGATATGACAGAACAAATACGTATTCGACCTTCACTGCTCGGTTTATTTATCGTCGATACATGAATGAATGTGGTAGTATTTTACAGCGTAGAAATTTAAGATTTAGAAACATGGAATGCGTTTAGGTATAATAAAACAGTTAGAGAAAGCTAGTTTGAGGCATAGTAAGTTTCTAATTTCGTTCGACTAAATCTGTATTCTGGAACAAAATTATGCCTCGGTTTACCACAGACTTGATATAATACGTCAAAAAGACCCTTTACATATACATAATAAACACACTAATTCCATAAAATCACATAACAAAAAAAAGTATTTTATTACAGAGCCTGTTGCAACGCTTACATTATTGCTAACTGAAAATATTATTTAAAAATTGATGCTTCGAGAAATTAAAATAATATCAATCAGCATACAACTTTGTAAAATTTGTATCAATTATAACACCAATAACAATACAACGCAAATATGTACTACAAGTTATGACTATCGGTGTTTTCAGATAAATTTGAAGTAGGAGGGACTTTATGGTCATGTTATGTAAATTAAATATCAAATTCACTGACTCAAGTAACTACTTCGTTAATGCTTTATTAGTTTACTCGCGTCGTTTAGTTTCAAATGTACCACAAGACACTAAAAATCAAAATTCCAACAAATCACCTCCCTTGCATGTACATCATGTAGGAACATATTCTAATTTGGTTAAAGGGATATGTGATTTGGACCTAAGCTCCCCTGTAGAGACCTGATTACATATTTAAACCCGTACCCTGGGTCTTTACCATCATTTAAAAATAATGAATTCCGGGCAAAATTTGAAATCACTAAGCGCTAAGTAACATTGAACGAAGCCAATATAGTGTTGTCGTGTGTAAGGGTCGTATTTGCTATTGCTTGATTCTCAATCTTAAGATAGACAAACGTTTACTAGTTCAAGCTAACAATGAATTGAAGACAACGAGCAAGTATTCATATGGAAATCATAATTTATGTTGAAAACATATCATATCCAAGTGCACATTATTACTTGGTCTTATTATTCTCAAAGTTATCTAAGGTACCCATCTAAATCTTTCCTTTTTATCATACATGTCATTGCTTAATTGCTTTCAACATCAAAATACCGTTTTGTTCAAAACGTTTGTGTCGCCTCTTTTTATATTTTTAAACCTACCAATCAATGTACCATGTACAATACCGATTATTCAGGATTATTAGTGATATCTGAGTTTACTTTTACTTGTAGTGTGTGTAGCCGGATTTTATGGCAGCAAATGTTTGAAGTCGTGTGGCAATTGTCAAGGTGTGAGTTGTGACAAGGGTACTGGAGACTGTACTACAGGGTGTACAGATGGATGGACTGGAAACAAATGTGACAACAAGGGTAATATTCATATGATACCCTTAACATGAATATGTTTGTTCAAAACTATGTCTAAAAGTAATCTCCTCAGTATTAATTATTCATTAGATTTCATTTCAACCAAATATGTAGAATATAATAAAAAACATCACTCCAATCCTAAAAATTAAAGGAGGGACATGAAACAGAAAATAATAACTAATGAAAAATACATGACAATTCAACTTTTTTTATGCTGTAGTGGTAATCATAACAAATGGGGACTCCGCAGTGGGGATAGGCATCGGATCCGGAGTGGTTATACTGGCTCTGGTCATAGTGATAATTGTACTGGTCAGACGTCTGACGAAGAAGCGCAGTGATATCACAGGGCCTGCTCATATGACAGACATATCATTGTCGAAAATTGCAAAAGAGCTCAAACAAAAGCAAGGTAAACATCCACTGCATTTGTACATTCGCATACGAATTATTAAACGTTTAAAGCGAATGTTTGCAACATTAGGGTTTCCATTGAAAATAACACAAGTTTCAATTGAATTGGTTTCTGAAAAGGAAACGCGATACCTTGAATGCACATTGTTCCCACATTTAAACCAACTTCAAACGTTGCTAGCATATCTCAACCTTACGACATACATGTATTAGCTCATGTTAATAGCGTAACAATGATAATACCAGACAGAAATTCAATTCATATTTTTGGTGCATTTTTCAGATAATACCTACGACGAAATAGCAACTTACAACAAGGAACAAACCATTGCGCAGATTTTACACAATGAGGCAACTTATGAACAGCTTGGACGCAGGGAGGTGGAAATTTCACATATATACGAAACAACAAATACTGACAAGAAAACATAGGAAAATGGTTCCTGAAAGCTGCACAGTTTCATCCTTGAACTCAACGTACCCATGTTCCTGTAACTAAATTGCACTCGTATAACATTTGTTTGATTAACTCGTGTCAAAACTAAACAGAAAAGTACGTAGGTGATGAACATCGACAGTGATGTGGATTAATTTTGTTCAGTTGTCAAATCTTGTGTGCTTTTTACATTGCCACACTATCTGAATGTCAGTTTTGTGAACCCAAGCATGTATCGTGTATGCTCTCATTGTTAAGGTAAAGTATATGTTCATAGTGAATTAATATATCGTTGTTCTGTACAGAAGTTCATATATTTTGTATAAAGTTATTATTTATCGCAGTTAACCATCGCAGTCACTCTATACAATTTGTCGTTTTTGATCCAAGAAGGTGTTTTGGTGGATGAATGTTTTGTGGGGATAAGTATAAGTAGCTTTAAGCAAATTTTCAAGTAGTGTTAGATTACCACACAGTTGACATCTGGTTGACAAGTAATAAGGTTGATAATTTATAGGAAGCATATACAATGCACCGAATACGAATATATCTTTAACTTTATGGTTTGATTAAACGCAAAGGTGCATGTCTAAGCTTTTGGTTTTTGATTTTGTGCAGTGTTAGACAAGAGTCGAAAGGCTATCGACTATATTACGAAATATGCATTTATATAGACAGTGAGTTATGTGTTGAACAATATTAATATATTTCGGTCTAAAAGAGATTTCTTAGAATTGAATTATACACTAAGTAGGTATGCAACAGATGACGCATTATTCGCTCTCGAATGTGATTTTCATTTACACGTTTAGGTTTGTATTTCATTGTGTTAGTAAGTGTGAGAAATATACAAACATGGCTTGTACACGTACGAGGTATTATCTGATTATTAATTACAACCATTGACCACAAACATGTGAGGTCCATTAACTATCAATTTATCGTCACTAATTATTATGTATTTTGTCCAACATAACATTTACGATAAACAAATATCAATGATAATTCGAAGATCTTATATACCACTTTGCCATGACCTAGTTCGTAGGTCGTCTCAAAGCGGTACACATATAATCATCTGTAGTTATAGGGTCTTTGCAGCCAGCCAATATCTTTCTCAACTCTCTGGGGAGCACACAGGTGGTGCTGCAATTTCGGCGCTTATAACTAGCACTCAACGATTCTAGCACTGCCCAACCACGTACTCATTTACAGCTGAGTGGACTAAACAAGCGAAGTAAAGTATCTTGTTCAAAGATACAACACAGTGCCGTGACTCGAACCTGCAACCTTTCGGTCACAAGTCCGGAGTCCCACCACTAGACTACCGTGCCACCTATAAAGTGTTATTTGCCATTCCCTATACGTTAACACATATCGGTCGTTTTATATGTTATAACTTAGTGATATGTACCAACATGTTGGTTAATCAAATGATATTCAATAGTTGATATACATTACACTTATGTCAATTAGAAAATTGGAAAGATATATCAATAGTATATGCGTTCAGGGTTATCGCACACACTGCTAAAAGCTGCACATATGCATTGGAAGTTTTTTTTCCAATATGCTTTCATTTTTGATAAATGATAAATACTTTCGGAACATAAAAAGCAAAAACATACTGTGTGAATTCATTTTTATTTAAAAAAAAAAGAAGTTATTAACTAAATAAATATATAAATAAACATTCCACTCCAGTGCTTAGAATAAAAAAGCAACGGGGCTAGACGAGGATTCAAACATGGACCCTCCCTAAGTATATTGTCACTTTAACTAACTTAGCTACCTGGTTAGAGTGGTTGTACCCAATGTCTGGTCGACCAAGAGTTAGAAAATATCCAAATTAAGTGAACCCAACTCTATGTTGAAAAAACTGCGAATACTTTGGAATTACAATGATTATCAATTGTACCACTAGATCTCTCATATCGACTTGTGTCTGAAAAAGGACTTTTGCTAGTTTTACTAGAGATATTAAATGAGAGAACACAACTCACATATCTTCATGTCTTAATGATGTAATAACATTTCTATTATCATCTGAAGATTTCCTAGAATGTTTTACGTTTGACTGATTATCATGAATACAATTCAAAATAATATCAAAACAGCGTTTATTCGTTTTTATTCTTGTATATTAGTCGTCGGGGTTTAGAAGCTGATAGGTTTATGTACGATTTACTTGCTGAAATGAGTTACAAACTGATTTGTGAAGTTAAGCAAACCTTAATTGCCATCATTGCGAAAAAAAAAAAAAAAAAAAAAAAAGAAACGTTCGATAGAAGTAATGCACGTGATACATATTAGTCTTTATTTGTGATCGTCATTCATCGTTTAAGACATCACATGTTTATTGTCCCTGCATTAATAGGTCCTTGCTGCAGTGTCTGCTGATTATGGGGTAATGGGGAAACTCAGAAGACTTCTGCTCTTTCTAAACGCATGATATGGCATGAGGTGATTAACATTTATCCTCATCGACAAGTATAAGTCAAATCAAAATAATTTGAAGTTCTCCAAGATAGAACCAGTTGGTCAACAATATTGATAGGAAACATCTTTGATGTTCATATCGCGAAATTCCCAATGGTATTTTGATGGCGAGCATAACAGTTGCCAGCAGTCTTTATCAAGCTGCATATTTCGAACCTTTATTGTACATTTGTCCATCAGCGTCCATGAGGGCACACTAAACAGACTCATCGGATACGAAATATACCTGTCTAATACACATGACTGAACATCAAGAAACAGGTGCTACATGGACACCGCAGCGGGATTGGCGTTCATGTCTGCGACACAGTACGAGCGGTATCTGACCATCTACACTGGCCGTCGAGTAAAAGCAAAAACATGGTACTCGAATGATGTTTCGCTGGAACTGTGTGTGGTACAGGTTTATGATGAGTTTACTCATATCTATCACAGAACTGAACTATGAATGTCATTAACATAGCATCGCTTATATTGATGAATTTACAGTTGTAACTGATGATTTTATTACAACTTTTCAAATCAATGTTTTAAAGAATTCTTATTTAAGATGCTGATATTATTCTGCGAAAAATCTCCTCGTCATACCTTTAACTAAACTAAATATTTGTGAATAGATAGAGTAAAACATCCTTTTGTATTAATGTTAGTAAATCTACGCATTTGAATGACTGAATGCGACATTCAACTTTTATCAAATTATTTCACAGAAACACTTTATGTTGCAACATGCTGTCGTAGTCTCCCTTTGCGTACGAAGCTATCTCGGGAAAAAATCAGATAAATGTCGTTCCCACTGCTATAGCTAGAGATACATTGTAAGATAATTATGGAGCATGTATGACGATCACAACAAAATCAATTTATTGTACAGCATATCAGGAATGGTAACTATAACTCTACATTCAATATCAATATCATATACACACACAATGTGTTGATTTAGTATAACAAGGCATTTACTGACCACTGCCATTGTTTACATAGTGTTTAGGTATAACCAAGACACCACAGACTGTTATTCATCAGTTGCTAGCCTCAATCTTTACATACAACATGGACAGCAGGAACGCTTTACTAACAAGCTGTATGATAAGCGAACAAAAACGAGAATCCGATCGTGATCATTCAAACATATTTTATTGATTCACAACTTACTCATTAGGCCATTTCCTCTGAAGAGGCATTTGATGATCAAGACATTTGAGATTTTCAGGTGGAATTACATTGTGCATGGAGCAACAACTTTATAGTGGTAAATGATGTAAAAATGGAATTTTAACTTGGGGCCACGTCCTCATAACGATAATCTGGTAGTGTAAGCAGGCCACTGTCAAGATAATAATAATAACAAAATCGACCTTCATATGAAAATGAAATAGTTTATCCCCTATGAAATCATAATGCCGTCCAAAAACTTATCCAATCTTCCTCATCCTGCATATGTTGAAACCCTCTGTCGTAAGTTTGTCCGTTAGCAGGTGACCTAAATTATTAATCGGAGCAAAGTCTTATATCGAATCGATTGCAAAATGTAAACAATAATTGGTTGTCTGGATGTAATTATTGTTGATACACTTGTAATTATATCAACAATATTTTATCCAGACAACCAGGTATTTTTCTATATTTACATATTTTTCTTTTCTAAGACATATTCCTACAAAAAAACATTTGCCCTGCCTCAAAATGCATTTCAGGCGGCCATTTTGTTTGTTTACATATTCCTACACCTGAAACAGGCAGTTGTAATTATAGTCGAGCTGTTGTAATTATAGCCTATATAATTACACTTGCCCTCTAACTCTGTTGTAATGGGACGGCGCGGGGGCAAATGTAAATATATGCTTATAAACACCGTGGTTGAGGAATCAGGGGTGTCATGATGTAATAGGGCATCAGTGGGGGGACACAGACACAGGTCCATTAGATGTGGAGGAGTATCCGAGTCATAAACAAATCAACACCTTGTTTCAAAATTAACTGCCGAGGGACCCGTTAAAGCATGGAAAATACCATGTACGTTAATAACAGCACTCAGTTTAAAAGACAATACCTACAGTGCAGAGCCAGTATGACATTCAATGAATCTATATACGAGCTCCCCGTGGTATAACCTATAAGTATGTTGAAGTAGTCTATGATAATAACCATCCCCTCTCAATACGCTGACATACGTTAAGATAACAAGCGTCAAGCTTACCCTAACGTTTCCTACGGTGGATGTACTACTTTCAGTACACCGGTAGCACTGCTGTCAGCGCCTGGGTAAAGAGAGTTTCCCCTCCTAGTATAGCCGGCTTTCTGGCCACGCAATTCACTGTTTTTGCCTGTGCATCCCCTTTTATACCCCCACACTCCTGGACCTCTGTAACGTTTAACCATAATCCTTAGTTGCTTTACTTCAAAATGGGCAGCAGTGCATGGGGCACATAGTTGTGTAATACACAAATGTTTGAAGTACTGTGTTTGGTTAAAATTATCGTTACTGTATTCAACCTATCTTTATAGACATGTCCTTACAAATACTCCGTGCCTTACTAAGGCTTATCACTTGTATCCTTTAATCCCCTTACTAACCATTCCACTGTCGCAAATGTCACATGCTTTTTATTTAGTATTTAATTTCATACTTTTGATTTGGTTTTTGTTCTTGGTCCAGTATTTGTCATTCAGTCAATCTGTTAGTCAGGTAGTATGTAAACATCTTAACCGGTATTTCACAGAAACGACATTTTTAAACTGTCACCCTGGTACACAACACTAAATGTTTTATTTATCTTTCGCTCATTCGTTAGATAGTAAACTGGCGGTTCCGGGTTTGACCTCCAGAGTAAAGACATTAAAAAACGGCCTCTTTTACATAGGTATGAATGATCCCTTTCGCTGAAACTTATTGATTCTTTAATATGAGATAGATTGGAAAAGTATCAAGGCCACCTGGAAGCTATTAAGGATTTTGAACGTCAAATCAAGGCGAATCGGCGAAAAAAATGGCCACACGACTAGTATGTGTTTTGTTAATATTTTGAATGTAAAATGTTTGTACAACTATTTCATGAAAACTACTGCAGGGATCATGTAGTTTATGTTGTTCAAAATGTGAGATGGATACTTGTAAAATGCCATTATCATCTTCCATTTTGTAAGTTAAGTTTGTTATTGCTATTGTCTTTTGGAACTCTTGAATCCCCATAGATCCTGTTCAAATTAGAGTTGATGCCAAAAAAGCTTAATCACTGCCTACATGTAAAGTTTGTTACTTCTATTTCTTGCTCCTTAAATTATATTGTGCACCTTTTTTTAACTTAACTTTTAACAACCTTATTTTTGTTTGTATACATTTGTTGATTTGTAATGCAACAACTAAAATAGAATATTTTCTTTGATTTATGTTTAAAACAACACTTCCTCTATTTTTCCATACGTTGAGGCACTGGCCAGCATATGATCAACTGACATACGCATAGCTGTTCAACGTTTGTTTTGCCAGAACCCATTATAAAACTGATACAAAGCTGATCGATTTTTATGTACCAATACAGAAATATATTGAATGAGATAATACAATATGTAGGAGAACATGATCACCATTTCACTTGTTGTCACATATATCACCTCTATACTACAGGGTATATGTTTTCAATTTCATTATAAATACACCTCTAGCTACCTTTTCAAGTTCAATATCTTTCAATATGTATGTGGCTATTATCAATTGTATTCTACAGTATACGTCACAGCTATTTATACATGTTGTGCCAAATCAAACTTACACCTGAGATCAACAACACATAGGTCTCAGAATGTCAAATTATATATTACTGGTCAATATCGATACCAATAATTAACATAAATCATAAACATACGTTTTTGCGCATATTATACCGAAGCAAACTTCTGATATCGAAAGTCGATGTGCAGGACAGAAAAGCTCAAACTCATGATTAATGTGATACATTTTTTTTAATTTCGCATTTATTGTCGAAGCAAATGTATACCAAAGGTCAAATGACAGTTCACCTAAGGCTATTTGTCTAGAGATTATTATTATTAAGGATAGGATAACATTCATTTCGCTAGCACATATTGTCTTAAAAGTTATCAATAGTTCCATTTGATGATAACTACCAATCAGCTATTCATTCCATTCGCACATCTTATGGACCAAAATAAGCCAACGGTCAAACGTCAAAGGTCATTTTGATAGTTCAAATCAAATAAGATGATTCCTGTTAGACTTGCAGATTTTACAACATAGGACAATATGTGTGGGTCACCAAAAGTCATAGGTCAGTCTAATTACATGTATAGTAATAGGAATATCCATATAAAATACTTTTCATTAATGAAACCAATAGTCAGATATATTATCTGCGTAGGGTTCAGGCTTCACGCCATAAAAACGCTTTATACAGAACAATGCCGACACAGAAACATTAGCAGTACTAGAGCTTTAAAATACCCTGTGCCATTACACTGGTGACCGTTCTTATCAGTAACACCTAAAGCACCGGCGTATGTGTTAAACACGCATACATTTAAGCCTGACCTTTGAGGGATTTAACTGAACTTTTAACGGAAGTTACCAGGGTAAGCGCATGCGCGTAGTCACCTTTCACAATAGGCAAAACGATTGAATTTCTTATTTGACAGATATATTATCTGCGTAGGGTTCAGGCTTCACGCCATAAACACGCTTTATACAGAACAATACCGAGACAGGCGTATTTTTAGTACTAGACTGAACATGCATTGTATATGACTTAGACTGGTACAATGCTGCAATATGTTACACACATATCCCTTTACAACGTTACCATTTATAGTTTATAAATAAAGAGCCATTGCAATGAGGACACAGCCCGGTGTGTAGCTCGCTCGTTTACCTGCGATCACGTCTGGAGTCCACAACTAAAATACTAAAAATATCAGTTATGGCGAACGTGTGCATTAGATGGGCACCCCTCCTTTCGATTTAATAGATAATCCGTCCCAAGTGTCGTAATGGTTTATTCTACATCATGCATAACAAAATACCACAACAATATGATGACCATATTTTCACTACTACAGTAGGACCCCATTTCTTCCATCGGATTAAGAGTTACAGATGCGCAATAATCTAAAATGTCAACATTAAAATATGAAGGGGTCGCAATAGTGTTTTCGTTATGTCGATATATTATCACATTTCCCAAGATAACGTTAACTTAATATATATCACGAAGGTAGGTAACCCGGTGTTTAATCCCGTTATGCTATGTTTGATATCGACTTGCACTTGTTGATGTTTTATATAAAAAAATGTTAGTAAACATTTATTTTTCCGAGATAAATTATCATGCGATGTGCTTGTTAGGACTGATCATCAATATGCCTCGTTTTGGGTTTCGTAAGTGGATTACATAGCGGGGATAAGAGACACTAGGATACATGTAGGTGAGTGCTGCAATCACGGCAGGTTTTGCGGAAACACTTTTTGATCTGAAAATATAATATATATTTAATTTAAATTTAAATAATTATAATGATGAATTAAATTTCTTGCAAATAAAACCCGCCGGTTAATGATCAGAATGTACCTCATGCCTAAGACATATACAGTCTTTGCCAGTAGAAAAGATTGTCAAAGAAAGTTTAGACATGTGCACAGACAAAAGAACAAGATAGCAAATACTGACAAAAAACAACCTTATCGAATGGCTGTGCAATAANAAGCACCCGACTTATGCGATACGCAGTATATGTAGAATGGAGGTGTGTAAACTCTGGGTGCAGGAGGTTCTGTGTCTCTTATCAACTTTAATGATTGTCAACACATCAGGTATGATTGTATGTACACTTTTTGTGTATTCTTCGTTCTAATGTAAAACTATACGTCAACTTGAGTTATATCTACATATCATAGCATAAGCCGTAGGTGCTTTACCATTGACATATTGCTGATACACCATGTAGGGGTTAATATTTAGCATTTTTCAAACTTCCGCGTTTTACAGTTTTTGTGACAAAGTATTGCCTTTCAATTGTGCTTTGTGGCTACTGGTCTTTCTATTATATTAACATTGGCAGGGCGATTGATATGATTTACAACACTGTTCGCATGCCCTTGACAAAACAAACATTAGTCTTTTATAATCGATATGAACCTATATAATCTACCAACACCTTATATATATACGTTAGCCGAGGGGCTTATTGTCTTTATATCTTAGTAGTATGCCAGTATATCTAATTTGTTTAAACGTAACGTATGTGTTTTGTGTTTTAATGTGTTTAATTTGACGATCTCATAATGTCTACTTTGTTAGATTTACTTCCTTGTCCCATATATATCATAGGTCTATACTAACGACAGTATGATCCAATTTGGACTGGATCCGAACAAACAAGTGTTGTTTGGATGTGTATTACTTCACTACATATATTGGCAAAGAAAAAAAAAACGGCAGCGCAGACAAAAACATTTTTCAATTATTCAGGGCGATCCGCCCTTGTTTGAAGACAGATTATGAATATTTACATATCACAAAATAAAACAGAGATCAACAGTCACTGTGAGACAGTCATACACATGCATTCATAATCAAAAGCATAGTAGTTTCCTATATAAAAGATGCTNACATTATATCTCCTCGGTAAGCTTGAAACAGAAGGCTAATTATTGTACCATATTCATCTTGAATACGTGAGGTCAAGATAATTCATACAAAACAATCTTAATAACATTATTGAGAAAAATCTTTGGAAGACGACATTGAGTTCTCATTGTTTTTACTTACTTATACCATGAATAAATTCTGATTTACAACCATTAAATAATAATGTTTTGTTTATCCGGTCACACTATTCCACAGACCTCAGTTGTGTGGAAGTGACCCTATCTGCCATTTTGATTTGCACAGACACCCCATCCCTCGCAGTTTTCTTCACTCCGTGGTTACCCGAACAGCTACGGCTATTCATTTTCTCACATGGTTTATAAACATTTTGTTATATTTATGAAGTTAATATCACGTCTTCGAGATGATTATTTAACCATAATTAAACTTCGGTTACAAGCTATCCGAGCGCATATGAACTAATATCATCATATTTCTTAATTAATAAATGCTTTTCTTTGGCCTGTTTTTTTTTTAAATAATAGTCATTAGGAACATGGGCGTTTGATCATGAATTTTAAATCAGAAAAGAAATCCGGATAATTAGTGATCTGCAGTTGTTTTAAACATAGCAGTTTCAATTAAAAGTGTAACATAACATAACAGATTAGTCAACCGGTCAAATCATCACAATGATAACAAAGTCCTGGTTCTCTTTTCTAATCAGTTTGATGGTTCATGTGTACATTTGTTTACCAATATTAATATCCGTTCACCATACATTTGTGCTCATCATTTGTATCTTTTAATGCTTGATTTTAATATCAACACAGTCATACATTGATGACCATGTAATGCTGATATTGGTGACAGTTATTAGTACTTTATATCGGCAATATATAACTTTTTTTTTGTTTACAGTTAACACCAGTCGTGAACCAAATTTAAAAAACACCACTCAAAGTTCAATCTATCTTCCTCAATATCCTAGTGGTAAGGCGGTAGATGGCTGTAAAACACAAATATTCGACAGCAACAATTGTTGTTCACATACACAGACAGGTCAAAAGGAAGCATGGTGGCAAGTAGATCTAGAAGAACTTATAATGATGGAACACGTCAAAATTTATTACAGAGGTGAGTATCCCCAGCTTTGCTTAATGCTATTCTCTCTCAGTGGTTTCTACTACTCACTACTAACATGTATGTGATGCCCACCTAAGAAACGTGGTAACTCTGTCTTTCTGGTGGTGCCCCGTATATATCCGTGTTTATGTGAAACACTGGCGGTTACGAGGTTGGTAAACAATCAAACTAGATATTTGTATAATACATTATACAGTGACATCTGTTTTAGATATACATATTGCATAACAAATCCAAAATGGTTGAAAGGTCCGTTACGCCTACACCGAGAATGGCACAAAAAACACAGATGACGTCATACGACATAACAATACAGACAGTCCAATGCAAAGCACATATACATGCAATAAATATATCAATAGATGAGTTGTAATGCTGTCTACGTTGTTTGTAGTTCTGACTTATGATTCTTCGGTCCAACAGGTTGTAACTGCACACCACAGGTTTTCATAACACTGCTGTACAGCTTGTATATAGACCCTGGATTAGTTCGTGTTTATTAACGACGGACTATTGTGTATACATGTAGTACTAGTATTTTAAACCTTAAGTGCTCTG